AAACCGCACGGCAGAGTTGCTCTCTCTTCCATTGTGAGACAATTCACCGTCTAACGCGTGCCACTGAGGTCTAAACTCACTAGGCAAAAGTCCCTTCTATTTGAATGGTTTCCTTCTCTTTACTGCTTGTCTGTTTACCAGCTAAACTAAGCCAGCAACTAGTTTTAATAAATTTGCATCCTTGCTGTTCACCAAACTTGCATCTCTCCAGACCTTTGCACTAGCTTTTCGCTCTGTTGAGAACTACTTTTCCCCATGGATTTTTTTTTAAAAATTAAGGTAAAATTGGTTTGTCACATTATATAAGTTACACAGGTGCAATAATATTTTATTTCTATAACAATATTTTGTTTCTATATACCCTGGGCTTTCCTGGTGTCTCAGTGGTAAATAATCCACCTTCCAATGCAGGAGGATGCTGGTTCGATCCCTGGAACGGGAATCTCCCCTGGAGAAGGAAACAACAACCGACTCCAGTGTTCTTGTCTGGGAGATCCCATGGACTGAGGAGCCTGGCAGGCTACAGTCCACGGGGTCACAAGAGTCTGACACAATTTAGTGACTAAACAGTGACAACACACACCCTACGGTGTGATCAACAGCAAGAAGGTCCCACCCATCACGATAGAGCTGATCCCCTTTACTCATTTCATCCCTCCCCACCCCACCCGCCACACTCCTCTCTCTGGGAAGCATTATTCTTTCCTCTGTATCTGGTGTTTGTTTTTGTTTGGTTTGTTCATTTGTTTTAGTTTATTGTTTGTTTTGATTTTTCGTATTCCACATTTGAGTGAAATCATATGGTTCATGAAGATATGGAGAAAAGGGAAGGAACCCTTCTGCACTGCTGGTAGGCTTGTAAATTGGTGCAGCCACTATGGAAGATAGTATGAAGGTTCCCATATAATCCAGAAATTCTGGGTATTTATCCCAAGAATATGAAAACACTGATTTCAACATATGTGCTTATGCTCATAATTACAATAGCCAAGGTCTGGAAACAGCTTAAAGTCAAAGTGTTGTTTGCTAAGTCATGTCCAACTCTTGAGACCCCATGGACTGTAGCCCACCAGGCTCCTCCGTCCATGGCAAGGATACTGGAGTGGGTCGCCATTTCCTTCTCCAGGGAATCTTCCCAACCCTGGGATCAAACCTGGGTCTCCTGCATTGCAGGCAGATTCTTTACTGTCTGAGCCATAGGAAAGAACCTAAGTGCCCATCGATTGATGAATGGATAAAGAACATGTACGTATGTACATATATACACATAGACATGGTGGAATATTATTCAGCCATAAAAAGATGAAAGCTTGCTATTGGCGTTAAATGGGTGAACCTTGAGGATACTACGCTAGGGGAAACAAGTCAGAGGGAGAATGGTAAGTACTGCTGTGGATTTTATGGCCGTTCCTGCACTCCTTCAGTCTTCCGTGCCTAAGTCCCCTTCACAGATCCGTGCCCCGACTAGTCTTTAGATGAAGCACGGCCTGGTGCCCACCACCAGCTTACACTCCCCTTTGTTCCCGCTTAATGTCTCCTGAGTCATTATACGTTGGTCTGGACGTTTGTCGGCTCTCCTCCACTAGGGTGTCAGCTTCACGAGAGCAGGACTGTCCTGGGCTGTTCTGTGCCCCGCCGTGTCCCTAGAACCCAGGGTAGCAGCAGGCTATAAGCTGTTCTAGGTGCTCACTTTAGGCTGAGCACTCGGTCCATATTTGCATAAATGTGTGACCTCACATTTTAGGACAGACATTGAGTCAACATTCAAACTTCTGTCTCTGTCTATTCTCCTAAGGGAGGCAAAGGATGCACTTTGTCCTCAAGGCCTTGCAGCGGGCGACGTCATTTAGCTGAGGAAGGGATTTTGACCCTCAACATTTACATCAAGGCTTCCTTAATGTGGGGGTGGCAGGAGCCCCTTTCAGAGTCTGATGTGAAGGATAAAACTTCTCTTTTTGGAGCGTTTTGCATATGATCGAGGTGGGATGGCAGGGCTTCACGAGCACCCCCAGCCCTCTTCTGCCCACCTCCCGGGTTCACATGTGCCTGCCCCAGAGCTAATATTTGTTAAATGCATGAATAATGTATATTATCAGTTCTCAGCTATATACCAAATGTATTCGTTTCCTAGGGCTGTAACAAAGTACCACACATGGGATGACTTCAAACACAGAAATACGTTCTCTCCCAATCCTGCAGGGTGGAAGTCCAGAGTCAGTATCGCTGGACTGAAACCAAGGAGTGGGCAGGACGCCCCCCCCGCCCCGAGGTCCTGGGTGAGAATCTGCTTCTGGCTCCTTCAGTTTCTGGGGGTTCCCAGCATCCCTCGGTCTGGGGTGGCACCTCCCAGATCACTCCTCCATGAGCATGTGACCTTCTCGTGTGTAGGAGTAAGACCTCCCTCTTATAAACATGCACGTTCCTGGGCTCCCCTGGGGGTCCAGTGGTTGAGAATCCGCTGCCAGTGCAGGGGACTCGGGTTTGATCCCTTGTCGGGGAAGATCCCACATGCCATGGGGCAGTGAAACCCACAAGCCACAGCTACCGAAGCCTCCACACCCAGAGCCCCTGCTCTGCAAGCGAAGGCACTGCTGTGAGGAGCCCAAAATCAGCCTCCTATCACCTCAACTAGAGATAGCCCTCGGAGCCACGAAGACCCATCACAGCCCAAAATCAATTAATACGTTAGTACATTAAAAAAATGGAGTATGTGGTGCAACCAGAGTTCACAGACATTACTTTAAGCAAATACATGTTATTGCATTTAGGGTTCACCATGGAAATGTGGGGTGATCATCTTTCCATCTCTAGACCATCAGCTTAATCACTTCTGCAAAGTTCTTTAAAAAAAAAAAAAGAAATCTTTATAAGGTAACGTGTGCCTGCTCCAGAGATTATTACCTGAAATCCGTCAGTATTATTCATTGAGGGGATCACTCTTCAGCCTGCTACACCAAATAAAGAAAATCACGGCATAAATGAAAACACACAGAGAATTATTTGGGGATTTTCACTGAGTTCTGAATCTGAGTGTGACTAAGTTTCCAGTGTTCACAGTATTTAAGGAAACCAGAGGGTGGAAGACAGACACCCTCCCATCCAAGGGCCCCTCCACCCCACGTCCACCAGGCATTGTTTAAAAGTCACAGGAGGAATTTCAGGTTGCCTGGGGACCAAACACAAATAAGAGGGCGCAGTCAGAGCTGCTTAAATGGCTCCATAAGCGAGTGTGTCCACTACTGTCAATAGGAAGGTGAGACCCAGTTTGTCTTAATGCACCGGTGCCCAATTCCATTTCGAGTTAACAGTATGTAAAGTGTTCCCACCTCCCCAGTGCCCCAGAGGCAGCCCGAAAATAATCTACCTGCTGTAAACCTGGTGACTGTTCAGGAAGAGAAATAGGATTGAAAGCCGTAGCTCCAAGGCAATACCAGGAGCCCGAGCAGAATCATCAAGGCTGAATGGCAAACCTTTTCTGAGAAGGGCGGCTGGAGTTCTGTCAGCTGCCCCGCCTCACTTGGGGGTTAATTAAAATAACCAAGAGAGCATCATTCGGCTACAGGGTCACAATTTCCTTTTCTTCTTGGCAAGTTAATTGGGCCTTATTGTTGTTTGGCCAACCAAACAACAACTCCTCAACCCTATGAACTGCAGCATGTCAGGCTTCCCTGTCCTTCACTGTCTTCTGGAGTTTGCTCAAAACCCGTTGACTTGGTGATGCTATCTAACCATCTCATCCTCTGTTGTCCCCTTCTCCTCCTGCCTTCAATCTTTCCCAGCATCAGGGGTTTTCCCAATGAGTCAGCTCTTCACATCAGGTGGCCAAAGTATTGGAGCTTCAGCATCAGCTCTTCCAGTGAATATTCAGGACTGATTTCCTTTAGGATGGACTGGTTGCATCTCCTTGCAGTCCAAGGGACTCTCAAGAATCTTCTCCAGCACCACAGTTCAAAATCATCAATTATTTGGTGCTCAGCCTTCTTTATGGTCTAACTGTCACATCTATACATGACTACTGGAAAAACCATGGCTTTGACTACACGGACCTTTGTTGGCAAAGTGATGTCTCTGCTTTTTAATATGCTGTGTAGGTTCTTCAAAGTTTTTCTTCCAAGGAGCAAGCATCTTTTAATTTCCTGGCTGCAGTCACCATTCACAGTGATTTTGGAGCCCAAGAAAATAAACAGAGCTTAATATTTGTCTAACATCCACCTGGTCTCTTAAATAAGTGTACTATGCCAATACTTTTCCACCTAATACGAAGAACTGACTCATTGAAAAAGACCCTGATGCTGGGAAAGATTGAAGGCGGGAGGAGAAGGGGACGACAGAGGGTGAGATGGTTAGATGGGTATCACCGACTCAATGGACATGAGTTTGGGTGGACTCCGGGAGTTGGTGATGGACAGGGAGGCCTGGTGTGCTGCAGTCCATGAGGTCGCAAAGAGTTGGACACAACTGAGCAACTGAAGCGACTGACTGACCGATGCCATTGTATTCTGCAGTGTTGACAACTGTCGTGAATCCCTAATTCCTCTAAGCAGTCAAGCAGATAACTTTCTTATGTCTCTTCTGTCAAACACACAAAAGACTTCTCCAGGAGGCTCCCTGGGTCTAGGCTCTGTGCCTGGCACCAATATTCGACAAATGAGAAACAGACCCTCTGCTTGAGGATCCCACGGCCTGGAGCAGGAGGGAAATTGTGCGGAGCTGGTATTTGGAATGTGACCTCTCCAGATGCTTGGAATCAGTTAGAGCCAAAGCGGAGGGCCACGTAGAATACCAACAGGGGAATTGGTAAGAGCACTTTGGATTTCTGGGGTGATTCCCTTCCTCAGCCAGTGGGGACCCCAGGAGAGCTGCTCCCGGAGACGAGAAGATTCTATGAGAAAGAACTCGGCCCTCACTCCCCGGCTCAAGGCTTCTCATGGAGCTGCAGACGGGAAGGCCCATCTCGGAGTGCCCACGAGGTTCAGGAAGATGGTTCTTTAGAGACGGCCATGTCCCCAGGAGCCTGGATGGCGGGTACACGGGATGGGGTGCCTTCCTATCGGCTGCAGGGCGGGGAAGGCAGGAAGCCAGCCGGAAGAGGGAAGGCAGCAGCGGAAGGGGGCCCAAAGAACTCCCACAAGAGTCTTCTCCAGGGCTGCGCAGGTCCAGGACTCTCCCCCGAAGCATCCTGCGGGCACAGCAGGCTTTCTGGCTCGCTTCGTCGCTCAGTCGTGTCTGACTCTTTGTGACACATGGACTGTAGCCCCCCAGGCTCCTCTGTCCGTGGGATTTTTCAAGCAAGAATACTGGGCACAGCGGGAGAACTTAAGAACTCCTGGGGGTGGCTGGGGGTCAGAGATGGGGATAATTACCACAGTTCGGGAAGTCTCCAGGACACTCTCCAGGGAGCGATTTGAGGAGGCAGGGCCTGCCATGCAGGCCTTGGGGGCCCCGAGCCTGTCCCCGGAGTCCCCTCTCCCCTTCTAGGCTCTGGAGGAACCAGCAGGAGAGAGGGAGGGGGTAGGAGGCGACCTGGAGGCAGTGACCCGGTTCTGTTCCCATCCGTCCCCCGCACCCTCCCGCCACCGGTCTGAGCTGGATGGGAAGTTTTGGTCCATCCTGGGCTGGCCTTTCCACTGCCCCCTAAATGCCACTGTTCTTAGAGCTGCAGGGAACTGAAAAGCTGTGGGGTGGGAAAGGGAGAGACCACAGCGCACGCGGGGGGACGGTGAGCGGAGAGAGTGAGGCTGCTTCCCCTGGTACCCATTGCGCTCAGCCTGTGGGATCACCTGGGTTTGCTGCAACCGAACACAATAAATCACAGCGAGTGTGTCTCAGCTTCTGTGGGAGACCAAGCAGAGAGTCTACTCTTGGAATATTATTTTTCTAAAAAAAAATAATGCCAAAAAGAGTTATGCAATTTGTGAGATGCTTCAAATATTTGCATGAACAAATTAAAGCTTTTAACAACAAAAAAACACAGTGCAATCTACTTGTGTCAGTCATTACAGAAACACCGTTGGGTATTTGAAAATTACCATGAATTTACAGAGCCCAGTGGCCATGTGGCTGGGTAAAGAGGCCAGCTTGAAGGCAGATGATGAATCTTCTTGTTCTTCAATGCGGTCAGTGTAATATCCTGTGATGTATGGACGAACACATGCATATTTTTGAAGACAGCCTCAAAAGCCAAAAGTTGAGGCCATCACGGAATGTCTGGCCGGGTCAAACGACCCTCCTGCCCCCACCCCTCCATGGTGGACCCTGGGAGGGACAGGAGAGTTAAAGAAAACTGCCGACCGCTGACACCTAAACTAGTCCTCGGGAGATCAGGAGGACCTCTCGAGGTATGAAAGGACATTCCCGGGCCAAGGGGCAGCCCCGCGAATGCAGACGCTGGCAGGGGCCTGGCGAGGTCTGTGACTGCTTTAATCGGCTATGCTGCGCCTGCGCTGCTGCCTGGGGGCTTCCTCTGGTCACGGGGTTGGGGGCTGCTTTCCATCGTGGTGGGCGAGCTCCTCCCTGTGGGGCCTCTCTGGGTGCCTGGGCTTCAGGAGCTGCAGCTCACGGGCTCTAGAGCTCGGGCTCAGTAGTAGCACACGGACTTAGTTGACCCGAGGCAGGCGAAACCTTCCCGGACCAGGGGTTGGATCTGCCCTGGATTGGCAGGTGGATTCTTCACTGCTGGGCCTCCAGGGAAGCGCAGACGTGGCACATTGGAAGAGCAGCTGGCAGGCTGGTGCCATGGAGAGCGGCCAGGGGTGAGTGAGAAACAGTGGAGAAGGGAAGGATGCTGAACTGTGAAAGGCCTTGACCATCAAGCTTCAGCTTGATCCTGGACCCAGAGGGAGCCAAGAGAGGCTTGAAACAGGGAAGGAGCAGGGCCAGACCAGCTTTAGGAGATCAGCGTGAGATAGGGACGCTGGTGGAAGAGAGGTGATGACCTCACAGAATGCTGGCAGCTGGGAGCGGAGTGGCCCCGTGAGAAAGAGATGGAACTCGTCAGGGCGGGATGGCCAGGAGACGTGTCAGTGTGACCGTGAGCTCCCGTGCAGGAGCCTGAGAGACACCGGTGACCAAGACCTGGACCGCGAATCAAGACAGGATAGGCCATGAGTTCCGCCGTAGATGTTTCAGATGTCTAGATTCGGTGTGGGTTAACCTGCAGAGAACGCCCTCCCAGTAGGCCCCAGGGTCCTAGTCCCTTCTTGTGCCTTGCTATTCCAGCTTCAGGAGCTGGAGGAAGGTGAGCCATTTTTTAAGTCGTCTGCCTATTTTATTTTTTTGTCTTTGGTCGCGCGAGGTCCTCTCTGCCGAGGTCAGACCTGCTCGGGTCACGGGGAGCCGGGGCGGCCGTCCTCGCGCAGCACACACAGGCTCCTCATCGCAGCGGCTCCTCCGTGCGGAGCACCGGCTGTGGGCACACGGGCTCAGGAGGTGTGGCTCCCAGCTTCATTTCTCTGTGGCGCATGGACTCCTCCCGGACCAGGGATCGAACCTGGGTCCCCTGCACTGGCAGGTGGATTCCCATCCGCCGTACCACCAGGGAAGCCCAGGCCAACCGTTCTCTTCTCCGCTCAGTCCTGGTGAAGGGTAATCGTGTGCGAGAGATGGGGAAGGAAGGAGGAGGGAGAAACAGGCTGGGGCCATTTTCCTTCCAAACGTCTAAAATAAAACCAAGGTTTATTTTCAAAGACCACTCAGCTGAATCTATAAGAAAAGACTGTAGTGTGTATTGCAAGTATACATGTATACATTTCTTCTGAAGTGGTTATTTTCTTAGCTCTTTAATAATAATAGTCATCGAGATGCACTGTTAGGGCACCGTGCTTCCACCATGCCCCCAGAGAGCATGGGTTCCATCCCTGGTTGTGGAACTAGCTTCCCACATGCCTCGTGTTGTGGCCCCAAAATAGAAACAAATGAACAAAAATAATAAAAGTAGCCTTGGCACCAGGCTCAGGCCACTTCTTCTTACCGTAGGGGATCAGGAGAAGATAAGGTGCTATCGTCTCAGCGTCTCAGGTTATGGACAGATGTATGAAATATGCAGGTGGTAACATGACTAGCATCTCTTCCTCCTGTCCACCGACCTAGGGCTCGAACCCCAGGCGCCCGCACTGCAGGTAGATTCTTTATCACTGAGCCATATACTTCAATTTTTTTAATGTATTTTTTTATTTAAAAAATACAAAAAAAAAACCCCTTTATTAAAGAAGCTGTTGCAATGGTTTAAGAGAAAAAGGAGATGGGTGAGTGCTAAAGTCTGGTTCACAGTAGAAAGTTACTTTTTTCCCTGCAGGAATTTGGGTAATAAAATACATTTTATTTTGTGTGCATTTTTATTATTGCAAAATGAAGCAGTTGATCGAAACTGACCCCCAAAATCTGAAATCACCGAGCAAATTTAAGCAGAACACAGGAGATCAAAAATAATCCCATTTCTGGACCACTTTTGCTTGAACCTAGCCACACATTAGCGTCACTGGGGAGGTTTGTAAAAATACGGATGGCTGAGCCCCGCCCGCAGAGGTTCTGATTTAGCTGATTTGGAGTGGGGCCGACAGCAGTATTTCTAAAACACATCCCCAGACGGTTCTAATGTGCAGCCGGAGTGGAGAACCACCAGACCATTGAAGTGAATTGCCACCCAGCACATAATTCATAACTGTCTTTAGAAATCGCAGTGCCTGCTGAGCAACCAGTGCTGTTGCCGCGCTCATCTGCAGCTGGGTTGCCAAGGGCCCTCTCTTTCCCTTTTCACTGACATACACTATCCACACAGAACCATATCCTAAGTGCATCGCTCAATGCATTTTCACCAACTGGACGCGGCCAGCACCAGCATCAAAAACAGAGCTCTCCCATGGCCCCAGGAGCGCCCTTGTTCATTCCGGATTGTCCCGCAGGGTTTTCTCTTCCCTTTTTGGTGCTAATTCTCACAAGGGATTTGAGCTATAATCAGTAGAGATCTCCATAATAAGTTTCCTTAATTCATCTGTCACATCTCTAGCTCATTCTAAAATTTGTGTGGAAGTATTAGTGAAAGTGAAACTGTTAGCTTTTTTTTTGCTCAGTTGTGTCCGACTCTTTGCGATCCCGTAGGCTGTAGCCCACCAGGCTCCTCTGTCCGTGGGGATTCTCCAGGCAAGAATACTGGAGTGGGTTGCCATTCCCTTCTCCAGGGGATCTTCCCAGCCCAGGGGTTGAACCCAGGTCTCCCTCATTGCAGGCAGATTCTCTACCCTATTTAGCCACAAGATGTTTGTCAACCAGACTGTTTATAATAGAAAGGAATGGGGAGGGGGAAGTACAGCTAAATATCTAATCACAGGATTCAATTAAAAATTTTAACATTCATAAAAAAATTTTTTTGACATGCATATAAGACTGTCCAGTTTGCATGCTATGGGATAAATTAGATAGTTGAGTTGCTCAGTCATGCCCAACTCTTTGCAAACCCATGGACTGCAGCACACCAGGCCTCCCTGTCCATCACAAACTCCCAGAGTTTACTCAAACTCATGTCCATCAAGTCAGTGATGCCATTCAACCTTCTCATCCTCTGTCCCCTTCTCCTCCCGCCTTCAATCTTTCCCAGCATCAGGGTCTTTTCAAATGAGTCAGCTCTTTGCATCAGGTGACAAAGTACTGGAGTCTCCGCTTCAGCATCAGTCCTTCCAATGAACACCCAGGACTGATCTCCTTTAGGATGGACTGGTTGGATCTCCTTGCAGTCCAAGGGACTCTCAAGAGTCTTCTCCAACACCACAGTTCAAAAGCATCAATTCTTCGGTGCTCAGCTTTCCTCACAGTCCAATTCTCACATCCATACATGACCATGGGAAAAACCATAGCTTTGACTAGACGGACCTTTGTTGGTTAAGTAATGTCTCTGCTTTTTAATATGCTGTCTAGGTTGGTCATAGCTTTTCTTATAAGGAGTAAGAGGCTTTTGATTTCATGGCTGCAGTCACCATCTGCAGTGATTTTGGAGCCCAAGAATGTAAAGTCTGTCACTGTTTCCATTGTTT